TGCCCTCTGTCTGCCCCACCCCCTTTAATATCTCTAACGCTTACCCCCTCCCTGCCCCCTCCTCTCCACGTAGCCGATGCAGCACCCCCTCCTGCCCCCTCCTCACATTGGGGATTCCACATAGCCGGTCTGCGCTACCACCCACGCGTCACCATGCCTTCTGTCCGCCCCACACCTCTTTTGTCTCCCTTCCTGGGGTCGGCGGCACTGGGCGGCAGCCCTTAAATTTGAAGAAGTCTCTGTTTGATCTACTGACCACGAGCGAAGCCATTTGGGGAGGGACAACTCCCTTCACTCGTTAAACCGCTCCTTAGAGTAGGCTTGAAACCGTACTTTCCCTTCCATGGCCACGTAACTCGAGATTCGTGGGCTTCGAAGCATTCGGAATTGCCAAGGATCCTTCTGGTGGCACGCAAAGAGCATCTTGACAGCAAGAGGAAGTTTGATGATGTCTCTTGTTCGCGCTCTCACATCTACCAATATAGCAGAAGACTCTGGGTTGCGGTCATGTCTCTTCAGCAGGTTCCTATGTAACTTCCACGTGTTCTCAACATACTTCATCCTGTCAAACTACTTTCCAAGTCCTACTTTCTGAACAGTTTGTAGTCCAACTTCCCAATTTCCAAGTCCTACTGAAAAGTGCGTGGTCTTCCCCCAAGTCCGCAACCTTCGAGAAACCACGAGACGTCTTCCCCCTGGCCTCGCGCGCCGGGCGCGCGATGGGCTCCTCCGTCACCGATCGAACCTCTTCGACCTGTCGGATGTCGGATGTGTCGGATGGCCAGGTGTAAAGAAGCAGAAGGTGAAATCAAAATTACCAAATGAGCTACAAAAAAAGGAACCGTTTAATGACACAAAAAGTGAGCCACCAGCTTCTTCACTTTGTGACAGGTCGTCCCTGTTGGTGACCTTCCAAAGGCCCAAAATGTTGTGACCTTCAACTGGGAAATTCAGGTCGGTCACGCAGTAAAGAAACCAGGAGAAGAACCAGGAAGGTGAAATCAAAGTAGCTTGGGATGTGTATTTTGACCGACTCCCTCGTTTTCCCTGGACAATAGAGGTGAAGCTTGTTCCACCTGTTCTTGAGTGGGTAAGGGATCAAAATAAAAATATAAATAGAATCAAAAAAAAATATTCAACGGGGATCAATAAAAAAATAAAAAGGGAATCAAAAAAAAAATATTCTAGCCCACTGAGGATGGTTGGGGTAGTAGTAGTAGTAGTAGTAGTAGTAGTAGTAGTAGTAGCAGTAGCAGTAGCAGCAGCAGCAGCAGCAGCACCAGCGTAGCAGAGCAGTAGCAGCAGCAGCAGCAGCAGGAGGAGGAGTAGTAGTAGTAGTAGTGGTAGTGGTAGCAGTAGCAGTAGTCACGGCGTTCACACGAAGTTAGGCCCTACATGGCGTTGTCAGAGCGCTCAGAGCAGAGAAGTGTTTGGAATGGGTGTAGCAGCATCGGAAGGTGCCAGGATGGGAATCGCCTCAGGAAAAAGATGTGGTGGACCAGTCTATTTCTATTGGGTGCATTGCGGTCGCAGCCGTACAGGGTCTTTTTCACCAAGCTGGTGAACCATTTTTCGAGTAGGGCTACTCAATGACTGGACGGCTACCTTATCGTTGGGTACCTACTTTCTTCCCAGGGAGCTGCCTCTAGTAGAAAGCAATCAAGCCTCTATTTGCGCAAGCAGGGGACCAGGAGATCGACAGACGAGCGCCGTAGGAGAGCAAAAGACCAGCGGACCAGGAGACAGAAGGACTAGGATACCAGGGGACCAGCGGACCACAGGACCAGAGGACCAGGAGACCGGAGGACTAGGGGACCAGTGGACTAAAGGACCAAGGGACCAGGGGACCAAAGGACCAGTGGACCAGAGGACCAAGGGACCAAAGGACCAAGGGACCACATTACCAGAGGACCCGCAGACCAAAAGGCCAGGAGAGCAGCAGAAGAGGCCTATCAAGGAATATTTTTTTTTTGATTCGCTCTTTATTTTTATTTTGATCCTGTTTTTATTGTTTTTTTGATGCTCTTTTTATTTTTTTTTTGATACCTATGCCTTCTTGAGTGGGGAAGCCAATCCCCACAAACGCGAATGAAGGTTATCTAGTGACTGAGTGAGATAGCCCTGGGCCCAAAGAGTTGGGTTTTTGCTACTAAAGGATCGGAACCTGGATATGGGGGGAATATGCTTGGCAATAGCCGGGGAAGCTGTCTCTTTTTCTGAGCGCTGGCCAGTGTTTGGGCTCCTTTTCCATCCACAACTCTTGTGGGAGCTGGTGGTGGTGACCCGAAAGTTGCAGAACTAGAACGGGTCAAGAATAGATTCGTAGGTCTCTTGTCAAGTCGGATGTAAGATGAGAAATGTGATACACCCACCGATATATACACCTACGAACAAGCAGCTCAACACAAGCTCATTCGCGATCTTGGGTAAACTTCCCGGTTGATCAGTTCGCGTCGAACTGTTTGCTTCATCAAAAGCATCATAAGTTCGGTGACACTCCAAACACGCAACACATCACACACAGAGAGAAAACACATCCACACATCCAGTTCCTGTACTCCCAAGCTGTTTTGGATGTCCATCGCGTTCGAGATCACCAGTTCGGGTGTCGTTGGATCGGAAGAGAGTTGGGGTCGTGGACCGAGGCAGGGCGAGGCCAAGCGAGAAAAACTGGCACACTCCCTGAGTGGAAGTGGGTGAGTGAGTGGAAGTGGATGGCGCCCCCTGTTGACACTCCGATCTCCCTGGAATCATCATGGGGGATGACGATTGTTCAACCCCCTGTGTGGTCTTCGGATTTCAGTCTCATCCTTTCGGCCATGCCATCCGCGTTTGCCGATTGTTTAGTGTCTATAATCCCACTCCTAACTCAATTGCCTGACATGGACGCCGGACGTCGCATGGCTTGGTGACGTCTTGCAAGCGCAAAGATCGACCCTTCGAGATCAGTAGTGAAGCCCTTTCGATCCAGGTCTCAAGCGGCATCGCCTTTTTCCTCGCCTATTCGTGTGCTCCTGTTCTTCTCTTGACATCACCTAATTATTCGGTTACCCCCTTCATTACTTGAGAAAATCCATCCAATGTCCCACAAATCGTGCCTGAACCGCCTGCGGATTCTTGCCCTGGCAGGGTCGAAACAGGCTGGCAGCGCTGTGCGCTGTGCGCTGTAGACTGGGCTTTGCAGGGTGGGAAGACAAGGCCTCTGGGCACCCGAGAAGGCTGGTGGTACAAGGAGCGCCCTGCGAATAAAAAAAAACTAAACTGTTTGAGCGGAGAGGCTATACGGCTTTCTTACTGTATCCGCCCTTGACGCTTAGACTCTGGGGAGAAAAATCCAAAACCTTTGAACCATCTACTGCAGGACCCTAAACCGATGCAAGCCATCAGTATAATTCGGTATAATGCTGTTCAATTTAATTCTAATAGCTTTTTGTTACTACTAGTAAGGCACCTGTTACGACTAGCGTGGCACTTGTTAATAAGGTCGAGCTGTCCATCCGCCTCGCAGATGACTTCGATGTCATCGTCGTCGGGATCGCTGAGGACCAAGCCAGGCCTTAGGTGAAGTCACCGGGCCCAATGCGACTCGATTCAGACGTGTTGGGGAACAAAAATGGATCCCTTACGGCGTCCCCTGGCTAACAATCACCCCTGAGTTCTCCTAGCGGATCACCGCTCTTGCCTGAACCCTTGTCGAAAATACTCTTGTACCTCCCTGAGCATTCTCATGTTGCTCCCACCTCAAGTTTCGACAACGCCGCAAGAACAACTTCGCAGACCCCAAAGCAAGAGCTGGTCTTGAACTTGGAAAATCCCAAGAGCCAAAAGTGAGTACCAAAAGTGAGTACCAAGGCTCTTTGTGACCCCTTGTGAGTACTTGAAAAAATTCACAGGGCCCTTAGAGCCTTGCTCCGCCCGGAGCAAGGAAGCCCCTTCATCCACGTGCCGCGAGCTCACCCTGGCTCGATAGGGCTCCCAGCTCGACAGGCTTCGGCCCCCGAGATCCTGGCGGATCCACAATCCACAAATCAAACAAAATCCACCTGAAGAGGTGAATAAAAGATAAAAAATTGCAAAGATTCGCCACTGTTCTCCACTCGATGGGAAGATCGTTTCTCATCTTTCTCCAGAGGATACCTCCCGTAATTTCGCGGGTGATTTCCTCCGTTTCACCACCCCCGCAGCATGCCGATGCCGGCGCCTGTGGCAGGTGGCGAGGTGGCTCCGGCCGGCGAGGTGAAGCCATCCTCGGCGGTGGCCGCCTTAGACATGCGCAGCTTGGGAACATGCACATCTGATGGACATGTTCAGGTTCTTTCGGAGCTCAGGAGCTTCATGGCAGATGACCTCCGCCTCTTGGCAAGAGAACACCCAAAAAGCATGTTGGGCTTGGACGTGAGTCGAGCACAATAGTAAATAGTATGTGGAGCACGCTGCATGCAGAGTGGGATCGTGAGACTACAAAGTCTGTGCAGGTCAACTAAGTTCCAAAATCATCTTTTCGCCCCACCTCTGTCGGACCCTAAAACCGTTGGTTTCCCGATACTCAGTTGCGAGGCCATGTGGTGTCCGCTTGGTGGCATGGCCCATGCACGGCCATGCACAGGCAGTGCACGGATGTCGTGGGGTGTCAAACGTGCCAGCGTTTTCTTTGAGATGAATTCCTTCCTCTGTTTTTTTTGCTGCATGCTGCAAGACCACTGCTTGTCTCCCACACAAAGGTGAGTCCTGTGACAGTGACAGGCACATCTGATCTGGATAGTGACCCCACTGATTCGTGGTGTCATCTTGGCCATGCCAAACCTTCTTGAATGTTCAGGACTTCTTGATGATGCAAGAAGCGCTAGCTGTCTTGCTCCACGCAATTAGCAGTTCGGCTCTTACCATCAGATAGACCACTCAGCTAGATGACTCCGACGCACGAATCGCCTTGGAGTTACGAAGAACCTCTTCCTACCCTCATCCGGGCATCCGGGCACTGTGGAGATCCTGCGGACTGGTCCGCAGGAAACGCTCACAAGTTCAACCGGAGTCACAGCAGAATCTTCGCACCCCAAGAGTTCTTGGGTGGACCCTTGTAGAGAGACAACAAAAAAAATAAACATGTTCTTTGTCGGTGCAAATGTGAGATGCACATGTGTTGGCTTTTACGAAATGATACGGGTACTAGAAATGCGAGTGATGCCAGGCAATATGGAAGGCATCAAATGCATTTTGCTTATATGTTGGATCGGTGTTTGATGATTGCCTACGCTCCGCCTATGCTGGGCGAATACTTTAGACCTTTTAGAGCTGCACTTGGTTCCCTATGGCATGCTCCAGTCCAAGGAGGTTGCAGGCTTGGAAGAATCCGATCGGTTCTTTTGAGAACACCTGAATGGGCCTGTAATAGCCCTTCTACAAAAGGTTGCAGGCCACTTCACACAAAGATGATCTTGACATTCGGACACTTCGACTGTCACCGTGACGATACTGCTAGGAGGAGCACTGCAGCATCACCCTGCCGTCACCACCAACGCACTGTCGTGGAAGGAAGGAAACCAAACAACTCCCCGTCTTCGGGTATGAACTTTTAAGCGGACGTCAGTGCAGGAGAACTCATGGACCAACAGAATCGTGCCTCCTTCGCGAAGGCTTGGGGCCGTTCAACCTGACACTGGGGCCGTTGAACCCAGCGATTGATCGCTGTACGCATGAAGAGGGTCTCTAGACTTCCCAAGTGAAAAAGGCCACATCCAAATCAACTTTCAAGAGAAAAAGGGACAGTGCACCCACCATGTCAGGATTCCAGTCTTGACAAAGCACTCCGTTGAGACTAAACTTAAGCATATTGCTTCCAAAATCCTCCATTCTCCAGTTTCCTCTGGTCTTCCCAACCCTTTACGAATCGAAGGAACGCTCACACGCGTTCGTTTAAATTCAAATGTGATCGTTTTGTGTCAATTAGTCCATCAAGTTCGGTGGCCTGCGGAGGCTTGGAAGCCCATGTTGTCGGCACTTCCTGGAGCAGATTCGATCAAATGCGTCGTCTTTGCACGAAAGCGATGCGTCACGAAATGAGTAATGAAAAATCACATATAGCTTTGTTTGAACAAGCCCACCAAGCTTCTTTCATGCGCATCTGTCCGCGCCGGTCCTCTTCGGCTTCGTCCTTGACGGCAGCGACTTCCTTGGTGGGACGTAAGGGTTCAATTGCTGCAACGGTCATCCGTGAGGTCTTCCTTCTGATGATTTTCTCGCAGTTCTCCAGTTCATTGACCGCTTCAGCGATCTCCGAGATATCATTGAGCACCACACCAAGCAAAGGAGGTGATGTTTTCGAAGTTTAGAAAGGACAAAACTCCAGCTCTGCGCTGGTTTTCCCCTCCGCTCCGCCCGACGAGCACTCCGACGGGCGGTGGCACTCGTCCAGCCGCACAGCCCATCGGCCTCAATCGGCAGAAGGTTCGGGGAAGACCAGCAGAAGCAATGGCCTCCAACCTTCTAGCAACGGACTCCAAAAAGTGAGGGAACTGTGCCCGACCGTTGCTAGACGTCCCCGACCGCTTGAACCCGAAAAACAACTCCCCGCCGCCTTCGCCGGTCTCTCCGCGCCCAGCGCCGTCTGAGCCGAAACCCCGCGTCGTCTCCCTGGTCGCGGCGGAGGCGGACCAGAGCGAGCCAGACGGGTCGATGAGACTTGCGGACTGTCGAACGACATGTTCTTAGATTCTTGAGCCAGCTTGATAAGGTCTCAGTTCTATACACGATTATCGATATCGATATGAAATGTGACTTTGGAAGATTACACCATCTTCTAATCTTTGCGATGAAATTCTTTAGAGCCCATGTGAAGAGACTTTGCACTATTCACAACTACTCACCCCCAAGTCTGATTTATAGGGCTCTGCGACTATGCCTTTTTTTGGCCGTGAGCATGAATTGCTGAATTCCAAAGGGGAAAAGTTCATCCCGAAAGTACATTGAAAAGACACCATTTCAGAGCCGCCCTTCCGTTGAATCATGGAACTGGCCAATGACAGGCCAATGACCTCGCTAAGCATTGAAGGCGCCAACTCTTAAAGTCGGATGCAGAAAGCCGGTCGCTTCATTTTGCATGTTCGCATGCTCGCCTACATCGATCTGAGCGATATCTGCAATGAATGGCTGAAATCCAGCGAGGCCAGACTGCAGATAGCTGGGCACTCGATTCCCTTCAATCTTTTGTGGAAATAGGAGCCACTAGTGTTCCCAGAATCTCCTGTAAGCTTTGCGGTGGGAATCCCATCAAATCGCTGCAAGAAAATCAGTTTGGGAGATGGATTATTAGCGTTTTTGGCTCATCAAATAAACAAATTATCTGGAGTCGGAGTCCTTGTCCTCTTCGTAGAACCGAAACTTGCTCAGAGATCTTTCAAAAAAAGCATCACTGCGTGGTTTCTGGAAATTGAGATACCACACCTATGTCCATTGCTCAAAGTCGAAGTCGCCTGCATACGCTGGATTTCTGGACGCTGAGAGGGATCGTGCTTGAGATTCGGGTGGAGCTGCTCCAAAACGCAAAAATATGAGTTCCAATCTGCACAAGCATACCATATCCGCCATATACTCTGAAGACATGTGCTAGTTTTGTTGAGTAACTGAATGTCCAACTTCACATCACGAGCAAGAAATCTTTGCCAAAGGTACGAAGAAAAACTCTGGTGATAGCGACCTTAGGAGGAAATTGGGTCTTGGATAGGTGATTCCCTTGATTTTCTCGGATAGGTGATAGATAGAATCTCGAACTCTGCATGATCAAACCACCTGAGGAAGAAAACCTCCTGTTTCTAGGGGCCCCAGCCACCTCATGATTTCGCAAGTCTTTTTCTGATGATCCATCCGGTTGCCCACCCGAACAGCAGGGATCGTTGGCTGCCCGCTGGCACTCCCATGCTCGAGGAGACCCGGGCGGTTCACGGGAAAGCAGTGGCACAAACTGGGCTATCTGACCAAGTGGATGTTCTTGCTGACATTCTGGTTCATTGCTCATTCGAAAGAGTTTGTGGGCGTCAACCGGTAAGACCACTGGTAAAAAGATTGTCAATAGGCTTTGGGGTGGCTAGGTGTGGCTGCAGGACGTTTGGTGCAACCGTGCAGGTGCTGTCGATCACACTTGGTCCATCTGCCGAAGGCGGCTTTTGACCGCTCACTTCTTTTTGGACTTCTTGGGAGGTGGAGCCATTTCCTTCAAAGCGTGTTTCACCACACGTGTGGCGAACCAATCCCAAAAGTGAGGGGTGCACACACCCATGGCATGTTCCTTCAGAATCAGGCGTGCAGAGGGAGAGTCGCACTCGGAGGTAACACTCTCAAAAGGGTTCAAAAGGGCTCAAACACACTGAGAGCGCGTCTCGGCTGGTATAATCAAAGCACCGTTCATTGCTTTACTCTGAAATAATTGAATATCCAGAAGTAAGACAGTTCCTTCCATGTTGCAAAGTGTGGATATATTGATGCACCAAGATTGGTTGCATCATCAGCACCCGTCAAGTGAAGTCAGTGATTAGATGATCAGTGGTTGATAACAGCCTAGCTTCAGAAGCTAATGCTGACCTATTTACAAATGTACCGTGAATAAGGCTTGAAAACCATAAATATGTGTATGTATATATATATATATACATGCACCCCAAACTATGTTTAATGTTCTTCTGGACCCTGATTTTCCGCTGCTTCCAAACCTTGACTCATCCACGTTGATTCTGAGCTTTCACCTGATTCCAAACCCTGTTGTGTACTGTCAAGCTGATTCCAATCCTGTTTGTTTACTGTCAACCTTTTCTGTTTCAAATTTGGCCGCTGCATTTTCCTTTTACATGCGCTTGATTGGGCATTGCCATTTGCAACCTGAAACCAACCCACAGAGACTACCCCTCACAAGCAGCCCAAACCTTCAATTACCCCTGACCTCAATCATACTAAACATACCCTGGCAAGTTCTTTTAGTGGTGTCCTTTACAGTTCCTTTAGGTTTCCGTTTTTTGTTGAAAAGTTTTAGCTTTATTGGAGGTCATTACATACAATTACTATATACAAAGATCGCAAAGGCAAACACAAAATTGACATTAAGAGCCTAGATGTGTCACGCAGATGTGTCACTCATGCGTGCACTCAGATGTGTTATACTGTATGTGACCATATGTTTGCTTTAGCACATCCACAAATCATAAATCTCTGGAGGCAAACACCGTGCCTGTCGATCAGACATCACACACGACTTCGACCACTTCGACCCTGGACTCCTCTTCCTCTTCCTCCTCCTCTTCCGATTCTTCGTCTTCCAGGTCATCCGGCATCCCATCCTCACCGAGCCAGCCGGGAGCCCGAAGCGTCGCCAGCGCGGCACCGGTGGTTTTCAGGTGAACGACCGACTGGAGGGGGTTTCCGTTGGACGTCTCGGTCCTGGGGACGTGCTTCGGGAATGTCTTCTGTCAGTGTAGGCTGGACATCAGCAGTGGGGGAGGTGGTGTGCTGGAGTCACATCTCATCCTTTATGCTTCATGTCCTTTCTTCTACTCCTTCATGAAGTGTTGTCGTTTCAGAAGAGGTCACACAACGAAGAGGTCGATGCGTGGCTTGCTGCTTGGAGCATCACCCGTTGGGTGGTGAGGACAGGGCATGTTCTTCGGGTGACCCGATGTCCAAAGAAAGGACCGTCAGCAACCTCCTAATAGCAAACCTAGCAACAACCAGTGAAACTGGTGCTGGTGTGATGGTGTCCGACTCAACCCACAGCCACCACCCACCGAGTCCCCCCGCAGGCTCAAAATAGCCGGTCAAATGCATCTCGCTGGCGCCCTTGTTGTGGAAGGTGCACCTTGGAGCGACGGCAGCGACGACTTAAGAGGCGAAGTGTGGACACATGAACACGACTGGCTCTTCCTTTTTGTCCGTTCTGTCACGTGTAGGTACCGTAGTTAGGTCACATTAGGTACTATTCTTGTCAGTCTGGACAAGTGCCAAGCAGCGACCTTGAAGGCTCAGTTGTGGGTGACTCTACATCTGGTGGTTCTGAAGCTTCATTTTCGGTCTTCGGTTGAGTGTCATCCCGTGTCGTCCTTCCGGTATTGCGGCATTCCCAAGTAGATGTGTTGGTGGACTAGTGTGACAAGTACCTCTGCACGACTTCAGATAGCCCACGGACACAGGAACTACGGTGTCGATGTGCGTCGAATGCTCGGATCGTGTCCCGTGGCAGGGCATGTCCCGTTGTCGCCTTGTCCCGTGTCAGCCCGGTGTTCGCCGGGTCACGTGCCCGTCCGAAAGAAGAGATCGAAGGAGGCAAATTCGCTCTTGTCCTGCGAAGAGTTCAGCGCCACTGTCGCCACTGCTCAGTGACCAAAACCGAATCCAGAAGCTGCTACAAGAGGGGCCGCGTGCCGCACCAGCAATTTGAGAGTTGAAGGAAGGACTTCACACTGTAGGCATCGTACACAGGCTCCCAAACAACCCAACGAATCCAACGACCTACGGCAAGCCCCTGAAATCAATCAAACCATATTGGCGTGGGAGGAGAAGCTCTGCCATAGACAAAACTTCATGAACGCCTACTGAAGGGGCAGGATTGGAAAAGATGTACTCCTGTTAGATACCACCCAAGCTTCTGTGACTGCCAGGATCAACGGCCTAACCGTGAGGAAAGAAGAGCACGGAGCACGTCGTCCACTTCGTCTTTTCTTCCCCGATATGAAGCCGTCCTTCTGCAAGCACGCGATGCTATAGGTCTTGTCACCTTCAATCACCTCAGTGTCGGTCCCACCGGTCTCCCCGACCGCCCGATCACACGCCGTTTCAGCGTTTCAGCGGCAGTTCGTGGGCGTCCGCAAGGAGCATGATCCTCTGCCTGGTTCACCTTTTGGAATGAGTCACCAGTGAGAGTTCAACGGCGAAGAAGGACTGGGCAGATTTTGCATTGCATCTGACCACAATATCCGGACACAACTGGTCACAACTAACATACATTTCGCTGACGACCAGGACCAAAAAGAAGTCCTTGTGGATGGAGAAATCCCTATTGCAAGGAAAGAAGCTTCATCCAAACTGTCCAACAGCAGTTCCCTGCTGAGTTCCCCCACTTGGAGGAAGTTCTTCCCCGCCTGCGGCTGGCTTAAGCAGGCCTCGCCGTGCAGGAGCGGTGTCCGCTCCGAAGGGTTGCGCTTGTTATCAGAAGCGATGCACCTGTTACTACTAGTAAGGCACTTGTTCCTAGTAGCGTGGCACCTGTTACTAGAAGCTTATTGTTTCTAATAGCAAACATTGTTACTACTAGTAAGGCACTTGTTACTAGTAGCGTGGCACCTGTTACTAGAAGCTTATTGTTTCTAATAGCAAACATTGTTACTACTAGTAAGGCACTTGTTACTAGCGTGGCACCTGTTACTACTATTGTGCGTGTTTTCCCATTCGGGTCAAAAGGAGAAACGAAAGAACTCCAGGTGGCAGTAGACTCAACAACTTGCGTTCTCTCCATCAGTGTGAAATTGGAGAATCGGAGCGAGTTGTGAACTCAACTTGTGAATCGAAGGAAGAAGTTCAATTCTTGGCAACTTGCCAACTTGCCAGATTTCCTCTCACAGGGCTCCGTTTCGAAAG